TTAAAATCACCCACAGTAATGATTTTATCTGAGCTCAGAACTAAACCAGATAAAAGTCTGAGAAATCAGACAGAAACTCTGTGTAAGGTCCAGGTGGACGATAGATGATAACAAGACTGGTGTCTGAGGCTGAGCATCAGCAAACACACAAACTGCTTATGTGCAGCTCACAGTGTTCCTGATAAAGGTCCAGCAGGTTCACTCAGAGATGTAAGAAAAGGCTCTGCTGAAAGATAAGACTGCTTGATGAACTGCAGATTAAAGATTACATGCAGCGTCATCATTTGTAATGACACACTCATCTGTATGTGATGGGTTTTGATAAATTGTGTATTTTTGTGAAACGTCCTGCAAAACGCACAAGTATACTAACGTTGTGTTATTCACATGTTGCATGAAAACAGGTTAAATAACAGATCCAAGCTGAATATGTTCATTACAACCACAGTTACACTTGTTTGTATTCTCATGCACTGACATTACTTTTGTGTTATATTAACACAGCAGCAGGTCTGTTTACCTGTGCATGTAAATGAGGGTGGACTCTTCAAGGAGATGCTTTTTACTTTCTTACTTACATTTCAGAGTAAATTTGTTTTTTCACTTTTACTTGAGTAAAACAGCTGAGTCAGTTCTTCAGCTTTTACTGCAGTAGTGTGGTGGGCGTGGTCTGCGGTGCAGGGGAGGCAGATGCACCTGCACCTGCGATCACGCCTCGCCGACATAAAGGCTGAACTAGGTCCTGATTGTTGTTGTTGTTGTTGTGGTGCATGTGTCGGTCTGCAGAGCTGCAGCCGAACATGTGAACGTAAATAAAAGTGAAAATTAGCATAAAAAGGTCGTCTGGTCTGTCGTGGTTCATTTACAACAAATATCAGAGTGTGTACAGAAGTACAGAATCTCTGCATGTTGCCACCTCAGCTCATACGTTTAGAGTATTTCAGCTGTTCAACTATAAAATGTGTTTCATCTTCTGCACATTGTAGTTTCAGCACAGCGGATACCTGAGGTCACGCTACGAGGAGACAGTGTGAGCTTGTTTGGATCCGACCTTAGGAAAGCAGATGGGAGGGACTTTAGAAATATCCTCTGTTTTCTGGACTCGTGTTTGCTTAGTGGCTTCAGTTCAACCTGAGTGCTCATCAGAGGGGATAAGAGTGTGTGTGTGTGTGTGTGTGTGTGTGTGTGCACGCTGTAATAATAGAGCAGCTGATCGAGGTCTGGTGAAATCTTCATCACGTCTCTGCATGTGCAGCAGCTTTAATTTTTCATCTTTGATGCAGCAGGTGCAGAACGTACGTACTCAGAAACTACACCATGATGATCTTATACTTTCAAAGAAATAAACGTCCAAAACAAAACGTAATCCAAGATCCAGCGCCGTGACACCACCACAAACTGGAAACTGGAACACCAGCATCTCTGTGCACAGTGAAACCAGTCTGACATCTCCAGGTTTGACTGAAACTTGCAGCTGCCCACACGAGCTAAATGGCTTCTGATGGTCAGAGATGTCATCCTTGAACCAGACG